TCCTGCAATGAATGGGAAGAAGCGGGGCGCTGTCAGCTGCCCGGGAGCGCTTACCTGTTCGCCATGCCGGCGGCCGCGATCCCCAGCATCGCGCAGCCCTCGCGCCGGGGGCGTCCGCGCGCCGCGCGCCCCGGGACAGCCTCCGGAAAGCGCGCAACTTTTCTTCCTTCACGCGCTGCCTTCTGCAGGGAAGTTCGGCGCAGCAGCTGCAGGCGGGGCCGCCCCCGCACGGAAACACAGGAACCGGGGAGAGGGAGCGAGCGAGGCGGCGGCGGCAGTGGCGCGTCAGCGCCCAAACCAGCCTTGCTCCAGCCCCCTCCGCCATCTCGGAAAGGGAGGGGGCGCGGTGTTCAGCGGCGTGTCCCGCTCGCCAGCCAGCGAGCCGCCTCCCGCGCGCTTCTCCTTCCCAAGCCACGTTTCTTTGCTTTGCCCCAGTCTCTCTCGTGGCGCTCTCGGCCCATGGGCCGGCTAACTTCCGCCCTGTTGGAAGCCGCGGCTCGCCAGAAGAGGGCCACGCAGTGGTGGCACTGGCCCCCTCCCGCCAAGACGCGGTGGCGCTGAATGGGGGGGGGTCCTTTTTCCTGCTGTGGCCCCAATTTCCTGCCGCTCCGCAGCAGCCTGAGGGGCCCCTCGGGTCATGGGCCCCCCTGTTCTCAACGGGGCTGCAACACTAGTGTTAAAACACCTGAGGGAAAAGCCAGGGTGAGTGGAAATGGCTTTGCCTGGTGTTGGACAGAAATGCACATGAATAAGGACACGGGCATTCTGCATCTGGAATGCCAGGAGAGAAAAGGCCCCTCTTTCAGGAGCCCTCCAGATACGAGTAGGCAGGGGATTCTGGAGAAGGATCGCACCCGAAGAGCCATAAGAAGCCGAGTCAGACGCTTGGTCCTTTTAGCAGAGTACTGTTGGCACGGATTGGTAGCAATCCTCTTGGATTTCAGGCTTGCCCTTCCAGCCCCACCAGGAGATGGGGAGAATTGACTGTGGGATCTTCTGCCTGGAAAGCAGTTGCTCTGTGCGCTGTGGTGCATCTCCCCGAGCTATTTGAGAGAATTGTGAGGTTTGTATGGGAACAGGAAGTCCTCCAGTGAGCCGGAGGTTAGAAGGCAGGAAATGTGAGTTCAGGCCCTGCTGAGAGGAAGGGGGACAGGGGCCGGGGGGAGGGGCGGAGGCCTGCAAGGCAAGCCATGCTATTTAGGATCCCAGCGAGCCTTCGCCACAGCATCCTAATCCCCATCACATGCAGCATTACCTGGCTGTGCAGTGGGTACTGAGGTGGGAGACCTCCTAATTCATGCACTCAGCTTCGTTGTGCTAGCAGCTCATGCAAAATTCAGCCAAAGGCAGGCGCTGTTTAGGGAGTGGATCCCATATGGCTGGGCAAGGCATGGGTTTGATGATGCAACTTTTGTTTGCAGCTTTGGGACTCATCAGGTGGATTGGGAGAGCAGTGTCCCAAAACTGCACTGTTGGATGGCTACTGTTTCATACTTGCTCTGTCCAATTGCAGTCTGGCATGTTCAGAGCCCTCAGACAGGTGTGAGATGTGTGCATCATAGCAGAAAATGGCCTGGAGTCCCCAGAGATGGTCTTTGCTCAACCTAACCACCTCCGGTAACGCTGCCATCATTCCATCATAACATATTTGACTAGAACTGATCCTTTGTGTGCATCCAAAAGTTATAATCCACTTTGTTGACATAATTATGTTTTGCATTATCTTTGCAATCTAGTTTCTTTCTGTCTGCAATGATTCCCCCCCCCCCTCCTGTACATATTTCTGATGCAATGTACCTTTGCCTTATGGCTGTGACCAGGATGAGATGAGTACACAGTCAATGTAATTTATTTTTCCCACTGCTCCGCCCTAAATGATGCTATTTTCTCTGAGGAAAAAAAACATTAGGTAGCGGTCCCAAAGCAGCCTTCCCCAGCCCAGACCCCTCCTGGTGTTTTGAAATACCATTCCAGCTGAGGCACATGACAGTTGTAGTCCAGAGTGTCTGGGGAAACCAAGATTTGGGGGGGGCTGGGGGGCTGCCTTAAAGGAAAACATGCAGAATGTTGTCTTCAGCTATTTTTTGTACTGGAAAAATGTAACGGCTTTAGTGGCACACTGTTTCCATGTCCAGGGTTCAAGACTATGGACCTGACATCATCAGGAATAGATTTCAATGCATACTGCAGAATATAGATGCTGGTGAATCATGCTGGCTTCAAGCCCACATATTTATTTATTTGTTGGGTTTAAATGTTGCTTTTATGAACTTCAGTGAGTCACAACATGTCTAAATAAAAAAGATTGATAACAGGCAAAGCAAGATATCAGAACAGAAGTACTATTTGTGAAAACTACTTGGAACTTATCTCAAATGGCCCAGGAAACTTCCAGTGTGGCATAGTGGTTACGAGCACAGGGCTGGGACTCAGGTGAGTCTCCAACTGGGGCCAGTCGCAGACTCTCAGGCCAATCCACTTCGCAGGGTTGTTGTGGGAATAAGATGGAGAACAGCAGCAGGAGAATAACGTAAGCCACTGAGTTCTTGTCCAAAAGAAAAAAAGGCAGGATGAAAATACAATAAATAAGAAACATTGTAAATTTTCCTATAGAAAGAGCTTCCTCAAACTATTATGGAGCTGTCCTCTTTGTTTTGGTCATAAAGTGCAACCTTAAGCATGTTCTGACAAAAAAGGGCCCTGGTAGCTGGAGCATGCAGGAGATTGTGCCTTTACTTTTGAAGAGGTGAGCATTAGGGCCCCACACAATACTTAGTCAGTTTGGAATAAAATCCAATCTGGAGAATGAAGACATAGGAATTCCAGCCCCTGAATTCATAGGCTTCATGTGCCCCAAAACTCATATAGTAGCAATATATTATTTAATTGTTCTTGATCATATGGAGAATCTTTGGTTTCCGCACAACAATAAAACATGAACAACAATATGGAAATCTGTAGCTAGATCTGCAGAGAATTGGCCATAGAATTTGACTCTCCATTATCTGCATGAAAATACATTGTTCTACATTGTGTTTATAGGAACTAATTTCTTCAGGGAGCTCCCTAAAATGGCTTTCATAAATGCTATGCATTGTAGCATGATTTATTATCTTGTGCTGTACAAAAATAGGGCAAGATTACACTCAGTATATTGACAGAATCATCTTAAGTGATCAGTTTGACTTCCTTTCTGAGTCATTGCCAAGGTTATGTCTGAGCCTTATTAGAGACCTGCCTTACATATTTGATTGCAGCTGGTTGGCTCTGGAACAAATTGCAAGAAGAGATGCTATTTACCATGCCATCCTTTGAGATGTATGCATTTGAAGTACCTAGCATTTACTCAAAAAACAGACTTCCAGAATAGTCTGGAAATCAAAATATTTTGTGTTCTTTCCATTTTGTGTTGGCATTACGCAACAAATTGTTTTAAATATTAGGTTAGTGTCTGGCAAGCAAGCAAGCAAGGAAAAAGTCTTCTCCTGTATTGTTGAGGTGTTGTGGGCTTCTGTTTTTGAGGACTACAGCAACTTTTCTTGCATTCAAAAATGTTGTCATAATGCTGATACAGTATATTACCTATAGAACTAGCTATTCAAGGTAGAGAACGTATGTAGAAGACAAAAATCATTGCCATACAGCTGTGCAATGACAGCCTCTGATGTACCAGTGCATGTTTGGTGGGAATCTGGAGGGCAGGGGGGAGCCTACTGCAATGCACCATCAAGTCTACCAATCCAGAAGTTACCAAGATATGCATCTGCATCTTTAACCTGCAACTTAGTTCTTGTTATCCAAGTTAAACAGTTCTTGTCCTTTTACTGGTTCACACCCTGGTTCAATTGTGGAATGCTAGTCCATTCCCACTCAGCCTATTATTAATGCTAATCCAGTTTAGTCTCTCCACATTTAATGAACTATCTGCTCCTTGTCATTCTGCTTGATATTCTTTTGTATTTGCATTTGCTCTAGCGTGAATTCCTCACAGGTGATTAAAAATTGGACAAACGGCTCCATGTGAAGCTTGACCAGTGTCTTGTGCAGGTTAGTATGGTATTTTTTGATTCACCTAATATACTCCAACATGCATTTTTTAAAGCTGCATTACATAAGATTCACTCACATTACCCCCAGCCAAATAAATGGAAGGCATGAACAATAATCCAAACTCCTGACTTGAGTCCTGGCTTAAAAGTGACTGTAACCACACTTAACTGGACCATCTTTCCTTTGGGCACACATTTTCATTCCCCTATAATAATGTTTTTAAAAGGCATGGAAAGGGAATGTAGAAAAAGGACTCTCCATAGGGGGCCCCTTTTAATTTTCAACTCCTCTAGTTAAACTACAGAGAAAACCAGGAACTGTCTCACTGGGATTTCAGTGTTTTCTTATGAAATTCTAAATGGACTCTATGTGCAATATTCTGAAAAACAAAACCTAAAAGTTGCTAGTTAGGCAAGATGAGCACTATGAGCACCAATAAATTCTCAGCTAGGCCTAAAATTCAGCTTTAGCCCTATGTATGTTTCAAAGGAAATACAATGGAACTGCGTGAGGGAGAATCCAATAGGAAGAGGAGGAGGAGGAGAAAAAAAGAGAAAGAGAAAGCTCTTTCAAAAACTTGCAAGGGTTGTGCACTGCAGAAAGGAAAGTATATGCTCAGCTAGATAATGAAAACAAACAATTCCAAAAATGGTGTGCTTCTGTTCCTTGTTGTGGATGTGTAGGGGGAATAAAGGGCAAGTGAATTCAAATCTCCCGCCGGATCTGCCCAAATATACCCCACCCCCTTCAAAGCACCAACAGGAAATAAATGGCAGCAGGTTTCTGGTGTGTTAAGCTGACCTCTGGGGGTAAGTCTCTGGCACAGAAAGGGAAGTTTGTGATATCCACAGGATAACACAATAGTAACCTTGATTTTAATTCTTGCCTTTTTTGAGGCTTCAGCTACAAGGGTTCTAAAAGCCACAACAGGTCACACATTTACAAAAAGCCATGTTTTGTAGTTATTTTAATCTGTATTACTCTCTTCCTCAGTATCTCCACCCTTTCCCTGTAATAAAAGGTATGTTCAGAGCATGCAAACAATGTTACATTCACAAGTATAGTATTTTAATATACTGAATATACAATTGAAATTTGAAAAATAACACACTATATGCATAATTTATTCACAGTTTGAAACAATAAAAGGAAGGATCCAACAGTGCCCACAAACAAGCAATATTCATGTTGTGTTAGCAGAAATGGGTGTTTGGGCAAAATCAATCACCCCTTCTAGTATGATGGGTTTCCCAGGAAGCCCACTGCACTAGCAAGTGTACTGATGTCATACAAGCATTGTTTTCTAACATCAGTAGCACAAGCACAATAACAAGATTTGAAATGACTAAAAGACGGTTTGTCAAACATTAATAACATTGTGCAGATAGGAAAATAATTTTCAGTTAGCAAGTTTTCAGATATAATTCTGATAACAATGAACTATTAGGGAAAGTGCAAAAATGCCCTGCTGAATTTAAACATGTAAAAGTACATGATATGGCAATAAACTAGGATGGCCAACTCGACTCTATCCTTGTAGGAACTAGATTTTTTAAAAAAGCATACCAATTACTCAGTCAGACAAATTAACACCTAATTGCACAAAAACTTAAGTAAGATTTGAGGGATGGCTTTGCTCTGAGAAGGAAGTACAGATAAGAAAATCATTGTAAGAGCCCAAAGAGTCACAATGCAGATTTTAAAATATATTAGATATCTATCTCCACTACCAGTGCAATTTAAACTGAGGAAAGATGCTTCAACCTGATATGACAATGAAGATGGTGCACCTGTTTTTACTGAAGAGAAGCACTTGAAATGCTTCATGAGCCTAAAGTTAGGTCACTCTTCACCTGCTCTGACAGCTGCAGAAAATGATAAATTGTTGTAGCAAGTAGCAGAAACAGACTAAATCAGAGTGAATAGCTGTGGACTATTTTTAATGCTAAATTTTAAAAGATATGATGCCTTCTGTTACATTCCTGTCGAAAAAGGCAAGTTTGGATTGTAGTTATGGATTACAGACTATTACAGATGCCGGGGAGATGCCCAGATGCACTTATATTCTGGTGCAAGACTGGCTAGGTAGAATATAGAGTCACTTTCATTCCCACTATCATTGTAACCAGTTGGTAAATATTGTGCACACACATTATATCACTCCTTCCACCAAGATCACAAACCACCAAGAAGCAGTTTAGACTTCAGTAACATAAATGAAGTTCTGTCACAGAGGCATCGGCAGTCATCTTCTCCAAACTTCCACTATGTCATGGGAATTGTTTCTTAAACCATCTCATCTGTGTGTGCTTAATATGGCAAGGTAGGAAAGGAACTGCAATGGACTGGACCTAGACTTAGGCATACAGTAGACCAAATGAAATAAATAACATTTAAGTTACTCATGACATTTGTTTCAGTAAACCTATTCCTAGTACAGCCAGAACAGCAGTCATCCCTAGGTATACTTGTGTCCTTTGAGCATAAAGAGGAGATTTAACAGTAAAGCAGGAGTCACAGATCAAGAACAAGGATAATAAAACTGCCATATAGTGGCAAAATGCCATCCCTTCTTGGGGAAAAACTCCCAAAGCTAGAAGCTACATTTACCTGCTTGTCTCCAGAAAGCTTTCATCCTTGAAGAGCATAAACAATGGTATTTAGATTTGACAACCTGCAACACACTTGAGCCTGTTTAACAGTGCCCTCCGCTCTTAACATAATCACTAGCATAAGCAGTGATCTCAATAGCTATTTAGAGTCAGAGTGCAAACATCTACATTTTATTTTAATGAAAAATGACTGCTCTTGAAGTGGCTTGGTTTCAAGACTTCATTAACTAATGGTTCCAAAAACTGATACAGCAATATGCCAAGTATTTTATTTTTGCCTCTTTCTCCCTTTGAATAGAATAAGCCATTTTTAAGCTATGCAAATACTTTAATAAGTAATTCTAATATCTGACTTGTCTGGGCATTAAAGAGACAACATTTGGAACCAGATTAAGAAGTGAGTGGTCAGAACTGTGAGCTGTCTTAAATCTTGCCACTGAAAATGAAAGGAATATGCATAACGTGTTTTTTCAGACAAATAAAAATGAAAATGTTTGCTGAAATCAGATACCCAGTGCAGAGCACAAATGGCATTTCTCCATAAGCAAGCTTACAGATTTAGTTTCAGTGAAAGAGGTAACTCCAGATATACACAAAGTGCATATGCTAAATTGTTCCTCCACTGAATGAGGGGGATGAATTTTGCAGTTAGGGGAAGTCAATGGATGAACCAGCACTTCCACAACTGTAACAATTATTGAATGAATAGGGGTAAGAATCCTAAATTGGAACACATTTTTTTAAGTCCCCTACAGGCCTTAGTCAAAATGAGATGATTAAAACAACCAACAGAAAAAAGAGTTGCTACACATGTATATGCTTCCTTCTTCAGTTCTGAGATTCCTCTCAGTGCAACTGCAGATTCTGAATGTTTGTACAGTGAGACCTTGCACGGTCCTATCGGAGTCCTGACCAGCTGTGCAAGTACGATGCCCAACCAGATGGCTGTGGTGTGCTGTCTTCCTCACCTCCTAAAAACAAAACACAACAAAACACATCCCTTAAGTACCAACCAAGATGTTTTAATCACAGCATTGATCAGTCCATTCACTGAGTCTTAAAATGTTGGATGTCTAATATGACTTTAATCAGAAATATTTCACAGGAAGGCATGATTAAACAAGAGGCAGCATGTGCTTGATATGGGCACTCTTTTGCATGATTTAGAAAGCCTGCACATTGACTTTCATATCTAAAGTCACGCTCAATGTCTAATTAAACATCAATCCTTTGACCCTACCCCCATAATCCTCGCTTTTAGAAACAAAAACAGGTCACAACATCTTTGGTAAGATGTTTTAGATGGGGAATTACAACTCCCATCAGTCCTAGCCAGCATAACCAAATGGTAAGGGCTGATCAGGGCTGCAGTCCAACAATTTCTGGAGGATGACGTATTTGCCATCCCTGCTTCTAGACTTGTTTATGGGAATTTTATGGGATGTGGGAATTTTGATTGTACATTTTAAAAAGAGTTTTTGTCTAGAAGCCTTTTTTCAACAATCATGAGGCTATGAGTGCCCTTATGGTCAGGACAGAAGTTCATTTTTGGCCACCGGCTATTTTGCTTCAAGCTTACCACAAAGGCAGCCTTTGTGGCAGCCACTTTCCTTTCCCTGAAAAAGCCAATAGCAAAAACATTTCACATACCTTGAGCAATCGCAACAAGTTTTCCTTTCTCTTCTGGACTCAACTGCAACATAGTATCTATTACTGGAAGAAGCCTCTCTCTTTCACTACCAGATTTTAGAAATATAAATTTTAACAGAACATTCTTCAAATATTCCAGATTAGCAACAGATTTCTCTCGTTCCTGGTTCCTTTCTAATCGCCTAATTTCATTTTTAAGAAGCTGAAAATGAACACAAAAAAGAGACATTAAAATGCCATGAAGATGTTGAGAAATTAGACACAGATACGTAAGCCAAATGTTATGAGGAAACAGCATGCAGAATTCTGCACTGGTCAAAGGACTAGGCAAACATGGAGTAACACATTGACAGAAGGTCACCCATTCGCAGAAGAGGGCTGCCCAATGCATGAAGAAAGGCAAAGCTGCACTGAGCAGTACAAACGAGTGAACCCTTGCATTCATTTTCTAGCAGCTGCCATTTTGTGTATAAGCCTGCTTCAGACTATCTGTTTTCCAAGTTGTTATGCATATGTGAGACACAGAGGCATTTAACAGCTGAACTGCCTCTTAAAGTCTTAAACTCACTCTCAACAGCATGAATAAAAATAAATGTTAAAAATATATTAAGTAAAAACTCCTGTATGAAGTTAGAAAACTGCTCTGCAAACAGAGTTTCCCATTTGGAGTCAGGTAGTGTAAAGGGGCTGAGGAGGGATGAAATGTCTGTCAACAGATAGATAACAACCACCTTTTCAGATATTAGGGGCCTGGACGGCCCATCTCTGCTTCAGGTCTCCATGTTTCATGTCTTCTACCAATCCAGTATTAATCTCTGCAGCTCCTAACTTCTGTTTACAAGCTGAGCTCAATTCCAGTGGTGGCTTCAACTCTTGATACTATTAACTGTTATTTTAAGTTGCTACCAGTTCCTGATTTTCCAAGAGCTGAAGCTCAGGGAGATCTCTCTCCATTCTTCTAACTGATCTTCTGGCCTTTGCATATTCTGTTTGCCTTATATTTATTTATATGTCCTGGCTCCACTTGATCCCTATTCCCAGGGAAGTGCTGACAGCTGTACATGAGACCCCACCTCCTGCAAAGACTTACTTGCAGTCACACAAGGGACTGCGTACTTGTGGGAACAAAAATGTTAAGTTTATTAAGTAGCTGCACAGGGATACTTAAATTGGATAAACATCTGAAATATACATTATACCCTAAAGAAAAGTAGGAATTCGGTAAGCATGTGCTTACTAACCTTTATTTGTTCCATTAGGATTACATTGGTTGCTTCTGATTCACGAAGCAATCCATTTAAGTGATCAGCACTCTTTGATGTGATATTTAACTTCTGGACCAACTCTTCTTTGGTAAGCTCTGCTTCCCATTGTGGCGGTTCTAAAATTGATCACAACAAAGTGATTTCAGATCTTTGTGTGTTTTTACTATCTGCTTACAGATTCTATACACATTTCCTATTTCTACCAGAATTTTGTTTTTATATAATTTTATGGAATTGTTATTGTTTTATTGTACATTTGTAAGATGTCCCAAGATGCCGAGGCATGTGGTGACGGCATATAAAAGTATAAATAAATAAATAAATCCTTCCTACTTCTACCAGAAAGTCAACATCTTCATTCCCTTGCAAAATGGGTTTTCAGGAATAGCACATGGTTAAGCACCAAATAACACATTTTTAACAGTCTTTATTCCATGGCATCTTATAAATCTACCTAAAACTCCTGAATGTTAAAGCTTCCCACATTACTCCTTTGTCAAAATTAGCCTAAATTACAGAAAGAAAAAAATACAGTTACAACTATGTGGAAAACAACTATTTTTTAAAATACAGAAAAATAGGACCAACAGTGACTTAAAACAACAGAGATCTTTGAAAAGGAAGATTACTTCATTTTGAGTTGAAACATCTGTGTAACTGGGAAGAGACTTCTTAATATTTATTTATTTATTACTTATTTATTAAAACATTTTTATGCTGCCCCATTTGCCGAAGCCTCGGGGCGGCTTACAACAATAACAGTATCTATGCTCCCACAGTGCTTGCTCTTGCAGCTTCTGGATTGAAAGGCAGATGTGAAAGATAGCAACAACACTGGAACTAACATCTGGCTGTAGCTGACAGGCATTTCTATGCTGTGGCCATTCTCTTCCAAGACCTTCTGTGGCCCAAAGAGTCAGAAGCAGAGTGGCAGGTGGAACATCTGAGGTCTGGTGAAAACTTGTATACATTTTTGCTATTCACACATCTATTTGTTATATTTTAAATTTATTGCAAGCCAACTTGAAAGCTATTGTTAGTAGGAAGAAAGTATAGAAACAAACAAAATCAAACAAACAATTCTAGGAAGGAATATGAAGAACATATGGGAGAAATTCACAAGAAAGCAAAAATATTTCTTCCTAAGACTTGAAAAACTTGAAAAGTGATTTCGTATTATGCCCCAAACACTTTAAATCCCAATGGAGCACCATATAGTCATCCGAGAAGAATTTCTTACCAAATTTTGTTTCTGGGCTATTAAGAAGCTGTTCCAAGGATGGCACATAGGTACCAGAGGAAGATACTGACTCGGTGTCCGTGGTTTCCATTCCTTCACCCTCCTCTCTAGCTAGTGTGTGCACATCAAGAAGAGGAAGGTCAGTATTCCTCCGTTCTCGCAAGTTCTTTGCTGGCAGGCTGGAAGAAGCAGGACCTGAAAATTAAGCCAATAGAAAATAAAATCATTTTATTTATTTCTGATTAAAATAAAATGGCTGTGTGATTACACCTGTTACAGAATTCTGTAAGATTATCCAAACATACACAATAGCCTAACAGAGCATGTGGCAGAAAACTGGAACGCTACTCATTTTGATACAAATAATAATCCAACTAAACAGAATTCCTAGTTGATTTTCAGTGGTGCCCTCAGCTCTGCCAACTGAAGCAGGCTGCCTCGCACTGCCTAACAGAAAGACTAGCCTTGTCATATAACTTAACAGTTTGAACTTAAAATATCCCCAGTTTGAAGACAGAAGAAAGAATTCATCTTAAGAAAGGAAAGATCTCAGATGTGTGTGTTGCAGTGAAGGGGGAGAGGAAGTCTTAATTCTAGTTAATATAGGCAAGTGGAAAAGGTTGCCAAGTAGTCTCAGATGATCAGGATTCCTTTAGTGGACAACAGACAATGACTTACTTTTTGGGCTTGGCTCACTTTTGAGCTGAAAGAGCTGGGATTCTACTTTGGACAACTGCTGCTGTAAGGTTTCCACAGTCTTCCTGTGCTCTTCTTGCAGATGCCGGACTTGATCACGGAAACTGTTCCGAAGAGCTTCATTTTGGGCTGTCAGCTGACTCACAATCTGTCCATGCTCTGACTTCATCACCACGTTTTCTGATTGTAGTGTGCAGAGTCTGGAAGATGACCCATCCAGTCCGCAGGTTAGAAAACAAGAGTTTCAATACTTTGAGAAAGCAAGAGGTTCTGGGGCAGGAACACCTAAAACCTCTACTGCCAACAACTTCTCAACTTTGTATTATACAATATCATACTGTACTGATTTATTGAAAGATCTTCCCACAAAAGGAACATTCAATATATGGTGTCTGTCAGATGCAAAGTGCTAGAAACAACACAATGTGTAATTTAGATAAGGTAGAAACATACTTTTCTCGGAGCTCTGCTTCTTTTGCCACAGTTTCCTGAAGAATTTTATTGTGCCTTTCCAGCAGGGTGTCATGTTCAGACTGCAGTGCTTGAAGCTCAGTTACATTCATTTGTAAATTACGCTGAGTGTCTTGCAATTTGATCTTCAGTTGGTCTATTACCTTTTCCATGTGTTCTCTAAAGGAAAAGCCACAAAATATTTGCAAAGATAAGGTCTGGGTCTCAATCCTTACCTGTACTACAAAAACAATGTAGACCACAAAAACAAATCCTTCCATGTTTAATTGCAATTTGTCATGACATCAATGTAGTTTGAATGGTACAAATAAATATTGGCACTGTAGAATGTAATGATAACAGAGCTTTTTAAGAGATCTAATTTTCAACATACAGGTCCAAAGCAAGTCAAACTTTTGTACTTAGGATCACAGTGCACGTGCAGCTGTTGTGGTTGCACAACTGTGCACAACTGCCCTGAGCCAAAGACAAGATTAGGCAGTATAGGGTTCAGATACAATGTTAAACCAAGGTGAACTGTAACTAGACATACAAACATCAGATCTCGCAGCTGTGCTGGAAGAGGAGAGAGCAGACAGTATTATATCTAAGACGTGCTAATATGAAGTTGGGTATAAAAATGGCACTCTCAGTGTTATATATGAACTAAAGCAGCCTTACTTCCACTCTGCGAAGATGCTCAGGCAATCTTTCATCTAGGAAACTCTAGTCCTGCAAACCAAAATCTGACTCAAACTAGGATTCACTAATGTCAATCAACGATGCAACGTTTACCTTTCTTGTTTGGTCACATCAGTTTCAGATTGTGAGGACTTGTTCTTCTGTTTTAAAACATTATGAACACGGACTTTGTAGCTTTCAAATTCTGAGGTGACAGCAGCATGTTCTGCCTGCAATGATATACAGGGTGTATGCTTTATTCAACTAAATGTTGCTGGTGATGCAACTGAGCATATATGTGGTCACTTTTTAAAGAGCAAGCCAGACTGCATGCAGCTCTTCGACTTGACAGGATAAGTTGCTACAAAACACAGCATGCTCAAATTTCTCAGAATGGCAGTAAAACCACTTCTGTTTCAAAGACAGCGTCAACATTATTCATGACCTCCAGGTACACATTCAAGTAGGCATTATTTTACAATTAAAGCATAACCATCTACTTGGTATAACAATTAGAAGGCAAGACAGAGGCAGAAATCTCACAAGCCATCATTTTGCTAGGAGACATCTAGTCATTGTAAAAGTTCCTCATGCAATCACATCCACCAAATGCCTAGCTATAATTACATTAGATTATGAGTCATCTTGTTCCATAAAAGCAAACAAGAAGATGGACAGTTCCATGCTGAAATTTTATGAGTCTGTTGAACAGCATACAAAAGCTCTGCCTGGTAAAAGTTGAAAATCAATCATTTATGCTGTAAACAGACTATCTATATATGATTCCCACAGCACAAATATTACTGACTGAAAGCTCATAATTTGATTTCCCCCTTGCTCTCCAAAATATCCTGAGAAATGCAACCTGTTCTTCTTAAGTATGAATACCAATACTAACTATTGAAAGTGATTCATAGTTCTCTGGGAATTATGGCTAGTAGAACACATGTTGAATGGTTAAGTGGGCTACCGTTTGTTGCTTTACATTTTAGACTTCATTTCTATGAATTAAAATTTTATCAAGTATTTAAACTCCTCAGAAATACATGCAATGACATTTTCCGCAATTCAGTGCTTACCATCTGCAGCTGTAACCTGTATTGTAAGCCATCCCAAGACATTTGTAGGGGATGAGATAGAAAAGTTTTTAATAAATAAATAAATAACCGACCAACCTCACTGTAAGTAATTGGGTATTCTTATATATAATCTTTTATGCACTGTAGCAAATTACTACAGGGAAAGTGTACCAATCATGGGTAAATGGAAAAACTAAAAAACAAGTATTTTTATTTATTAGATTTCTATCCTGTCTTTTTTCTTTTTTAAAAAGAACTCAGAATGACTTGCATCCTCCTCCTCTTGCTCCCAGTTTTATCTCCACAACAACAATCCTGTGAGGTAGGTTGGGCTGAGAGTCTGTAATTGGCCGAGTCTCCCAGTTGGCTCCATGGCCGAGCGGGGACTAGAACCCAGAATGCCTGTGTCCCAGACCCTTGCTCTTAACCACTACACCACACCGGCTCTGGTAGAGTACTAACTGGCATAATCATAGACACAGGAGATGAATTCCATAACTCCCTAGAGCAAATCCACACCATTCTGAGCTTGGATCACTCCTCAGTCAGCTGAGAACAAATCTGATAAGTGTGTGACACAAGTGCACAAATCTGATAAGTGTGTGACACAAGTGCACAATTCTAACCCTAAATATTCCAGACAAGCCAAAAGTATGGAATGTCAGGGAGTACCTCCCATTTCCAAAGCAATTGTAAGTTCCTTATTGAACATATTCAGAGAGAAGATATTTGTTAGGAATCAGATTACTTTTTTCCAGAAAATACCTTTGCTGTACTACACTCTTCTTGAAGAGCTGTCAGTTTCTGCTGATAAGTATTCAGAACCCGTTGGTGCTGTTCTAGTGAAGTCCTCAAGTGTTCCTGAATTTTGTGGTTTTCTGAAGTTAGCTCAGCCAACTGAATCTGCAAAAGGACATTTCTATCAATACACTGACAGCATTCATATTAATTTTCACAGCTTTAGCAGTGGTGGTGGAGACAAACCCATGTTTTGCCTTATTGCATAATCAAGTGTTCTGTTTATTTAGTGCTTATCACAGAAAAGATGCTACTCCATTTGCAACTATGTAAAAACAAAAAGCAACTGAGTAGTTGGCTAGAAGCCAAGAATTTGAGAACTGGTAAAGACAAAGAAACTCCCACACATAAATTTTGCCGTATGTACATGTAATTGGAATTCATAAACACATGGGCAAACAGGAAACAATTTCCACATGGTACTTTATACCTACCCCTGCACTTATTTATATTAGACTTATATCCTGCTTTTTTCCTTAGGAATTCTAAGCAGCCTACATCATTCTCCTCTCTCAGTCTTCTCCCCACAAGAATAACCCTGTGAGGTAGATTGGGTTGAGCGTCTGTGACTGCCCCAAAGTGGGCTCCATGGTCGAGTGGGGAGTAGTACCAAGGTTGCCTGAGTCCCAGTCCCCTGCTCTTAACCACTACACCACACTGGCTCTCTTACATAGGAGACATACTTGGTGTGAAATGAATGTAAAATACCGTGGTGTTGCATATACAGAGTGGAGTTCTAATCTCAGTGAGGCAGTTCAGTGTTGATTTTATTTGTATTTAAATATATACATTTAGGACAATCTAATTAAGAACTTTTTGGGCCCACAATGATTTTCAGTTGAAGACAATTAAGTATATCTTTATAACTCCTATAAAAAAGGACAGGATTTAAATGTGCTTAACTCTGGTTGATCACACTCATTAAGTGGTATCCACACTTTTCTTCAATACTTAATTCTAACAGCAATCAAAAGGCTCGAGCTCCATATGCATGCAGTTGCCTTATTTCATGGAATTTGCACTCCATTTCTCTCCATGAAACCAACATCACAATGAAACCATTTCTAGCTTATGCAACACCCAGAGCATGCACTGGGCATGAAAGAAAGAAGAAGCATATGCACAGTTATTCCCAGAGTTTAAACTTATCTAGTGAGATGGGAAGGAATCAGGTAAAGGAGCAACTGTTAAAAGTGTACAGATCCTAAACACATTTTCAACACATACACAAGTGTTATGTCTCTTGAATTCCATGAGCTTCCTCTGAGGAAACTGGATATAGAATTGTAGTCTTACTGCCCCACTTTTACTCATGTATTGATTTCAATGCAACTTTCTTACAAATGAGAGCCAAACACCACCTTGAAAAATAAGTAAAAAAGGGGGCATATATGATTATGGATGCAGATTTAACATGTAGCTTCAGCTAGAGGGTAAAATACCATCTTTCTCACTATTCTAAAGAGACAACATTGCCTTGCCTTATAAACGTCCACTTGTTGTTGATTTGCTTCCAACTCTCCTTTTAGAGATGCCTGAAGTCTCAGAAGTTCATTTTCCTGAAGAAGAGTTATTTTCAATAGTTTAACAAGATACTGCTGAAAACAGAGATACTGCCATATCATTATTACTTTGCCAGAAGAAAATCAGACAGAATACTGCTTTAGCACTTACTGCTTGCTTTGAATCTGCCAGCTCTTTTTTTGTTTTCACTAACAGTTGTTTGATTTTGGCATTCTTCTCCTGGTATTCCTCTACTGATTCCTGAAATGACTCTAATACAATAAATGTAACAAATAAGTGTTAATCCAACTGAAGAGTTAGAAATCTTTTAAAGAGATACAGTCACAACCGGTTGTCATGTTGCACAAACTCAGACTTTCTCACAGGGTGACTCATTCATGGATGACAAACCACCCTGATAACCCATAGCTTTTTCTAGGGGTCGTTTCACCCATGTTTGAGCCAAGGCAACCCTCCTAATCATGGGTGAAGGCAGGCAATGAATACGATCTTGGCAAAAGCAGCAAAAAAAAAAAAAAAAAAAAGGCCTTGCTGCTCTTGCCAATCTTTCCTGAGCCACCATCTGTGCTGGCTGCCTCCCAAATGCTCAAATGGATTCAAATGGTGTGTGTATGTGTGTGTTGTTTTCTCTTGACAGCTGTCAAAAGGCAAGCTGTCAAGGGAAAACAAAGCATTGGGGATCTTTACTTGTAAGACGACACTGGAAAGACTTATACCTCTTCATGGTGAGATCCTTACATTTCCCCCTTTTTTTCTGATTGTCCTCAGTATATTTTGCACTTTTCCTTTAGACTCTTGCTATGGGGGAAAGTGCATTCCACCCATTTATGGCGAAAATAAGTTCTGGCAGCTAACTGTCAAATGTTACGTACCCTTTTAAAACCCAGTCTGACAGGACTATGGGCATTTTTGACAAGGTCATATAGAACTGTATGTTGTGCAATTCTGGCTACACACAGAGAGACAGAAAAAAGAACTATTTGTTCCTTGCTGGCAAAGAAACAGGAAAAAAAAGCGTTCCCAACCACTTACAGACCCTCCAATATGAAGGACTTGTCACTGGCTATAAAAATAGTGAATGAGATCTCCAGAGAAGTATGTTGTGGGGGAATGCTGTGGCACAGGAAAAAGAATGTGCAACTGTGGTAGCCAGAAGATTAGTCAGTCCTGTTGTAAGTCTCCCAGGGGACTCTGCAAAAGGATCAAGGAGTAAAAGGGGTTAAAGAGGAGTTGAACAACTCAAAATGAGCTCAACAGTTTGCCTGGTGCACCACGGGTTGTTTGGGCAACAACCAATCCACCATGTCTCATTGCCAGGATGGGTTAGCATGAGATGCAAACATGCCTTTTGTCTAATAGGCTATTAGATCTGTACACACGATAACATTTTCTTAATCTGTATAACTAAATTAATTTCTTATAAGTTGTATTCCTTTTTACCAAACTGAGGTTATTGAGTTGTATTTAAATTTTACAGTTTTTCTTTACTTCTTTGAGGTATACATAGGACGTTTAGAGAAAATATACTGCTTACTGAGTTCTTCCTGTAATGTTTCTTGCTTCTGTTTTTGAATGTTAATCTCTTGCTCAAGGTCTTCAATTCTGCTGTTTTTGTTGGTAATCTTTTGATTAAGTTCTTTTACAAAACGCTCATAGTCAGCAATTTCCATGTCCATCATTGTACTCTTCTGTGCATCCTGTACAAAATTTCAACACATAACACTGGCAAGATTAATAAAACTGGATTGGCTGGTCCAGAAGACTGAATATTCCTGCTTAAGTACTGCCAGGTGTTTATACCAGTCTAACATGCCATTTAATTACCAAAGTAAAGGTATCGGGACTCTGTTGTTGCAAGCCAACAAACCAAACTGTAAGTTGAGTTTAATGCTGTGGAATCAAAAGCCAAAATGGATGGATCAATAATGTAGCCACAGCCTACCTTTTTGGCCAGTTCCAGCTCTTCCAAAACTTTCTGAAGATGCTTCTTCTCTTTCTGAAGTTGTGCTTGCAGTTCTTCAACCTCTTTCACAGCATTACTATGATCCTACAAAGAAGTTTAAGTGCTCATCATTTAGAAAATAATGATCTTATTTTATGTTCTGATCATTATTTGAACATATTGTTTTTATTTTCTGTTCTCTACTGTATTTTCTGCTTTTACAGCAGGGCCACTTACCTTTATCTTTTGCTCTTTTAGAAGTTTTTCTGACTCAAGTTCTTTGTCTACCCTGACTTTGGCTCTCTGGATTTCTAATAACTGGGTTTCTAACAGCTTGGTGTTTGTCTGTAGAGTTTCAATACGAGTCAAGAGGTCTTCATTAGCAGAACGCCACTGGTCTTGCTAAGATGGGAAAAACATTCAGTTACATCATTTTGCATATTGGAGTCTCCACCAGGCACCATTTGCAGCATGTGTATTCCATGAAGCAAATCCTCAAAGCCTTTCTTGTTTGTGTCAAGGGCTGCACTCCCTCAGGAATGATGTTCCATGATCTGTGTGCTGGCAGTGGGGAAACCTTTTCCTCCACTCTCTTTCTGCCATGCCCTTGCCTCCCCTCCTGGTGATTCTTCTTTCCCCACATCTTCTTCCCAGCCTAGTAGTGTGTCAGGGAAGGAACAGATCACTCTTTATTGATCACTTGCAGAAGGTATTTGAAATTAGGCTAAAGGCTGCACAAAATTAGACCAGAGCTTCAGGTTTCCCATCTTAGGAGTACAGCTTAAAACAAGATTAAACAGACTGGTTCTCAATAATTAACTTGTTTCACAAATAAAAACAAATTAAAAAAATTAAATTTAGATAATTAACTTGTTTTACTGAGGCATTTAGTCTTTTATGTTTCTATCTCAAAATATGTTTGACAGTGAACAGACTTCAATGATCTAACTAGTTTTATTCAGAAACAGTTCCCAGTTATATAGTATGAACACACAACTGCAGGCACCCCAGCAAGGAGGTACCATTTTGTACTTCTATTAGAATACTTATTAATAAACTAGACATTCATTAATGCACAGGTCTCCACAAATGTGCAGTTCTAAAAATAATTATTCATCCTGAGTCATTCTGGGCTAAATTTGATCCTGTTAGTGCTCCATAGCACTTTAGAGCAATTGTAGCCCATAGGCAGGGGGTGGGAAGGAAGTCTGCAAAAGGGGGCAAAATTGCCCCTAATCCTCATATAGTTCCCCACCTAATATAAAGAAAAAAGAGACCAACTGTCTGCATTCTCTTCATTACAATTTAATACCATCCACTACACTTAAAAAATATGCTTTAGCTTTAACTGTGTTAAAAGCAATCTAACAATATGTTGATGGCTATTCTAAATCAGGAGCTAAACACTTGTATCCCTCTGTAGCAAATTTTCTCAGACATAGATCTCTTCAAGAAGTTTTCCACATATACCATTCCAGGTCTTTTTACAATCCTTTCAACTCTTTGCAGACAATGCCTCCAAAAAATAGAAGTTTATGCGCGTCTGGTGAGCCTGCTAAACCACTCTGCTAATTGTTCCACCACAGCTCCTATCCATGGAAGCACGCTGCAACAGCTATGGTTATTTATGTATTTAATTTATTGAAGGCTCTTCTATACCATCATTTATTCCAAGAATCTCATAACGGTTTAAAAAGATTAAAGATGGCATCTTATATCTCAGAAATGAAATACATTTTATAGAAATGGAATGTATATGAGAAACAACAGCTTGGAAGCAATTCTTATGCAAGTTCAGGCAAAGCCCCCCACCTCCTAGCACACAACAGCCAGCATATACACGAAAGATGATTATTACTAAGGGATGCCATTGATTATGGAAAGTTAAACTGAACCTCAAAAATTGAGAGGCATCATGTCTTTTTGGATAAAAGATAGTGAGAACAAACAGGGGGATGCTGTTATCCTCAAGCCCTGCAGTAACTTTCCCAGAAGCATTTGACTAGCCAAAGGGAGTGCTGGACTAGAAGACAGGTGAACTGCCTAAAGTAAAATTTAGGACTCTGCTCTGAAGTTTGTTTCTCAGTCTTAGATTTCTCAACCCCAACCCACTTTCTCCACTTAATTTCCTCCTCTGTTTCCAAATTAAGAAAGCAACCCAAATTGTATATTCTATATAAGCCATACCTGCTGAGTTGAGTTCTCCAGCTGTTTTTTAAGGTCATCAATTTGACGTTCAAAATTACGAGTTTGTTCTTTTTCAAAATCCAGTTGCGCAGCTTGTTTCTCGAACTCTATTAAAAGATTCTTGGAGCACATACAAATCCTTTTAAAAATTCTGTTACTAATACTTATCTTATTCTGTCCATGTAAACAACAGTGCACATACCCTTCCTAGTTTATGATGCCATTAGAAGTACCTTCAGGAAAATAGAAATAAGTACCTTCTCCCAAGACTAGACCTTGCTTTCGAGCAACCCATCTGAAAGATCTGCACGGGCAGAAGAACTTCCAACTTTCACTACACTGGCAATACAAGAGCGTTGCTGGCTGAAGTGGAATGACATGGTAGAAACAAAAATAAGCACACTGGGCTTATGGAAAATGGAAAAGCTAAATGAAAAAGGTGGAAGTTATTTATAGAAAAGTTATTCAAGGAAGACTGGGACTCCCTTCAAGAGAACTCTAGGTGTAAATAGTTCCCTTTACATCTGGGAATTAAATACTCCATCATATTTGATCTGCCTCTCCACTTTAATATACTGGCAGTTCCAAAGTTGAGGTGATCTTACATGGTTGCATGTTGCAATGTGCAACTGCTCAGATGAGGGGCTGACTTCTCAAGATATCACTGGATGAATGCTATCCTATCTGCCCCTTGTCAGAGCTTGAGGCACTTTTTCACATTTTCTTTTACTGCCCCACATATGAAAAGGTTACAGAGGGTTTTTTTTAAAGAAATCACTGTTGAAATATTCAACCCTTCCTGATGCTGCAAGATTAAAACTACTTTTGAGCAGTCTTTGCAAAAACCGCATTGTGGATGTAGCAATTTTTTGACATAATGTGTTTTTAAATTCTTAAATTGTGGGCAGCTTATGCTCTATCAAACCAAATAAACCTTCTATACTGGCTATCTGACTCCATGCATTTCAGTATTTTTTACAGTATGAGGAAAATGATGGAATTCATGTTTACCTTTGGTGATCTCCAACACAACACAGGCTGACATACTATGGAACTATTCTTTTCTTGCATTGCTCCTGAAACTGCCCACACCCTTCCTTACAAATCTGTTCCAGAAGGTCACCAAACCACCCAGAACAAATTTGGGAGAAGGTGTCTGTGTGTGAGGGGTATTTTTTCTGCTGGCAGGTGCCACTCTAGTCTGTAGAAGATGCCTGCTGGATTGCACCTATTTTGTTTATCCTTAGTTTATCCTCTGTGATGAAAAGAGGATGATTTAACCAGCAGAACCGCCACTGCAAACAGTTTCTGCTATTTATACAGATTTATATTCAATCCTCTTAGTACCTTTGGCCCACCCAGAACAACTCACAACTTAAAACCACAAACTATTTAAAATGTTGTATTTGAACATAAAGTTGTACTACTTTCAAAAACCAATGAAATGTTGCTAGTGAAATATAAGGTAAAAACATTTGGTGAATAACCTCTCAGTTAACTTACACACACAAAGCACAGTAAGTGTGCAATGGTTTATATTAGGCACCTTGCTTTTCCCTTTACTTTCTTCATCTTCTTTAGTGAGAAAGGAGTTGGAGACATAAGACCAGTCCATTTTAGAGCTGTCTCACTTAAACACAACAAAAGCACTGACTTGATCCTTCTCCTAGTTTTGTGCAATTTTTAAGATTAAACAAACAATTTAAAAATGTTGAAAGTGATGACCCAAGAGGCAGAATTGAAAAACACCTGCAGATACAGTAGGGGAAACAATGCATGCCAACAAAGCTTTCAAGTAGCGCTTTCGTTTCGGCACAGCATCCACATTAATTCCATAGCAGCTTTAAAAGCAGATGGTTGGAAACAAATCTGTGCTGTACAAGAACAACAGAAAAGCCTTGATTAAGCACACCAAGCATTCACAAAAATAAAACATCTATAGCTTACCTTATAGCTCTCTGCTCCCTGAATGATGTCTCCCATTGAAGAGGATAGCTGCTCTTTCTCAGATTGCAGCACCAGCAGCTCTTCTTTAAGCAACTGCACCTATGTACAAAGACAGACATAGTTGTATTAATTGAAGTCATTGGATCCAACAAATCTTCCATGAATTGAGCAGGAAGCACAGGATCTTTTCTGCCAAGTCTTTACCCCACCAACCTCACAAGCTGTTCCAGGCAGTTCCCTGATCTTGCAGAGCTAATTTTCACAGGCTGCAGGAAAATTAAGAGTTGATAGCACTCCTCTATTCCATGAGCAGAACTTGGATCATTGAATTTGGAATCCCATCCAATTAAAAAGGCATGTATCTCAAAAAATCCAAAAAACCTCACAACTGGAAATAAAACCACCAAATCCTGTAACTAAATGTCAATTTGAATAAAAAGATCAGATAGTGGAAATTCTCAGAGCCACGTAATCCTGATTAAGAAGTGGCCACTGGCTGCTGCTCTATGCCACTTTATTTACAATCCATGCAATGCATTCGGAATAGTCAAGGCAGCCACGTACTTCCATGCCATCCTAATCTTCCATCTCTGAAATGTGTCCTTCTAAGAGCAAATGAACAGATAAATTCTAAAATGCCATTTGTACTGGTTTCCAAACATGTGCTCACTGCAGCCTTCACCCTCCCAAGTTCACACAAAGAATCCATGTATTTCTAGTATCACTATGCAGAAAAACAAGGCACATGAAAGATGGCGTTTAGCAAAGTGCAGGGACTGAAACTAGAAGACTAAGTAGTTCTGGGCTCAAGGCCTGCTAGTCACCATAACCACCATCTTCTCAGTTTTACATGTATTAACAAGACAATGATCCAGATGTGAAGGAAAGAATATTAAGTGTCAGCAGCAACATGGTGCTGGCCCCTAACTCTAGAATTTGAGATAACTTTATCCTGAATAATGTTAAACAGGAGCAGAGAGAAAACAAAACCCCGTAGAACCTTAGCAGAAAAGTTCCAATCTGACAATTGTAGCTGAAAAGCTCTAGAACCATCTTGCTAGGAACAAATGGGGTAACATAAAAGCAGAAGACTTATGTGGTCCCTGAAACACATTATTCAAAGTAAATGGTACTAAATGCATCTGATGATTCCAGTCACCTCTTTCCTGCTAGAATCCAGTTCTTTCCTTAATTTCACAGCGACAGCTTTGATTTTATTTAATTTTTCTTCTTTCTCTTTCAGCTGCTTTTCCAGATCTCCTAAATGCACAAAGAAAAGCTACATAAAAATGTGAATGCAAAATATCTTTTTGCAAGAAGTGACATTTTTATGAATAAGTCTGTTTCGGTATTGATACTAATTGCCAGCTAAAGCTATTATATACAAACATGGGGTGATGTAAGTGTTACTGTTCTGTGTACTCATCTGTTTCAATGTGTGCTTTCAGTATGAAATTGCCTGACCCTGAAGGCATTTTTAGAAGTAAGTGTCCCAAGTTCAACAAGACTTCCTCCCTTCTTTGAAGCTGGGGCAGCTTTTTCATTTCCCCAACTGGCTTCAATGGGATGGAAAAGAACTACATCAGCTCTAGGATTTCATGCTTTGGATAATATCCCCTCCCCATTTTTAAAATTATCATTATTACATTGCATATATATTCCTCCTTTTTATCTCTTGTCAAGGCAGTTTACATAGCTCCATTTTATCCTCAACTTAACAAACTTGTTAAGCTAAGATTGAACATCTGGCCCAGTGAACTTCAGAGCCAAGTGAGGACTAGAACCTGGATCTCCCAAATCCCCACTCCAACACTCTAACCAGCACCCTACTCTCTCAAACAGTAGAATATTGTCTGTAATTCTATTCAGCTATGGAGAAGTCCCAGGAACATAAGAGGGGAGGTGTGGAGTACTACAGCCCTTTTAGTATCCCATAACAATAATGCCACATTATGAGAAGACAAAACTCCCTGGAGAAGAACATCATGCTAGGGAAAGTTGCAGAAGAAGAAAAGACCAAATATGAGGTAGCTTGATTCCATCAGGGAAGCCAAGGACTTGAATTTGGAAGAACTGGGCAGGGATGTCAAGGATAGGTCATTTTGGAGGGCTTTCATTTGTAGACTTGGAGATGACTTGAAGGCACATAAGGACAAAGCAACAATTCACTATTCTTACATATTCTCCATACTGCAGCCCTAATGCTAGAAACCAGACCTATAACATATCTCATGGAAATACCGTTTTATTGCCAAAGAAAAATAACAAAAGACTTAAGAAGAATTACCGATTTTCTGGGTCTCTGATGATTGCTGGTCACTGCTTGTGGAAGGTTCCTCCACAGAACCCTGCATTGTAAAGAAAATGTATGAGAAAGGCTGCTTTGGACTATCCCTGTTTAAAGATCTTGTGGGATGGGCCAGGCAGGGTTTTCACACACTAAAATCCTCCTGGAAGTGCTTCCTAGTCTCTCCAACACTAGAACAACCACATGGATGGTTGCTACTGCTGGTTGGTGTGGAAGTGGGCAGGCTGGTGGTGGGGGAGGGGGAGGGGAAGAACTCACAGAGGCAGAGAAAGGGCTTCTATTGTGATGGGGCCTTGAGCTTGATCCATAAGAAAGTATGCCTAGTATGAACAACACTGCCTTGTGGCCTCTGCTATTTGCTTCTATATGACAAGGAAAAGCAAATAGAACTATGAAAATGGGAGGAAAAGTCAAGTGGGAATGATGCCAACATCTAAAAAGGCATGCATTTTAAAATTTTATTTACGAAGGATGTTTCTAGAAGGACATTTTCAGAAAGCATAAAAAACATGCTAACAAGGTTCTTCTTGATCGGGCAGCTCTACAAACATTAAATTCTAATATTTTGCTCCATTGTGCTATCATTTCTTAAATGCCTCAAAATGAAGACTACCATAAATAATGAAGACCTCTAACTCATACACATCTCCAGAAAGTCAGGGGAGAAAAACATGAAAGCATGTTTTTCTAATGAAAATATTAAGAACTGTTTTAATTTTTGCCATTTAAAGTACCTTAGGCACAATCATTATGATGATTATTTACTGAATTTTATATAAGAAAAGCTAAACTAACAACTACATGCTATATATTTATTCTTAACAATTATTTTTTCAGAATAAAAATCCAACCTCTCATCCAGGTTCTAGTTCTATAACTACATATTTGAAGATTAAGGGGAACTTGTATTTTTACACAATATTGATTTGCTGAAGTGGAAAAAAGCCAAATCACTCAGGTCCTCTTACAAACAGCAGATAAGGTAAACCTGTTCATGAGCTGTTCTTCACTGTTCCCTATTCTTGTCTAAATTTTTTCTACAAAATATTGAGGAATTTTGGAATATTTGAATGTATCAGTAATAAAAAGCCTAACCTTTAGCAAAGAAAGCTTAGCTTGAACATCTCTCAGTTCAGTTTCTTTTTGCTCCAAAATTAAGTTTAGATTTTTCCGCTCTTGTTCCAATTTTTCTTCGTGTTCTTTTATTTTGTTTTCATGCTGTGCAAGTTGCTCAGAAAGATCTTGAAGCTGAGATAAAAGATCTTGGTTCTCATTCCTGACTTTTTCACTGGTGTGTTTCAACTCCTGGATATCTAGCTGGAGGGCTTCTTTTTCAGACAAAGCTCCTTCCAACTCCTCTCTTAAAAGTTGTTTTTCTTTCTCATAATCATCCAACAGAGATCGGAGTTCCATGTACCGAGCTGCACTTTCTTCCTGGAGCCTCAGCATCTCTTGTTGTAGAAAAGCATTTTCATCCTTCTGCAAGGTCAGACTTTGTTCCTCTTGCTTCATTTTAGCCAACAATTCATTGGCAGCTTGCAATATACCAACAACATCGTAGTCTTCCTTTACATCTGGGTATCTGGAGCCCAACTTCTCAAGGAGGCCACAGAGCTGACTGTTCACAACTGATTTGAAGGCCTTCTCCTCATCAAGTAATTTACTTAAGTGCTTGTTTTCATCACAGGCTTTTTGCAGTTCCATTTCTAAGTTATCTGCTTTCTCTTTAGAAATGAGCCAGTCCTCCTTTTCACATCCAATGCTTTCTAGTTCCTTACCTGCACTGTCTCTTTCATCCTTTAGTTTCTTATTTTCACCATGCAGACTCTCTACTTGAGACAACAGACAGACTTTATCTTGCTGAAGAGCTTCGATTTGTTGTTCAGCTTCCCGCAGCTTTTGCTGGTCGTTTTCTTTTTCCAATGAAGCACCTTTGAGTTTCTCCATTAATGCCTCTACCTGTCGCTCTAATTCATGGTTGCAAGAGGTAAGAGTGTCAGCCTGTTGTTGAAGTCCCATAACTGTTGCTTGCTCCACTTTGCATTTTTCTTGAAGGTGTTCTATTTTCTCAGCAGAGTACTTCATTTCAGTAAGGTTGCTATTATTCTGTGAGGAAAGCTCACTCATTTTCTCTTCCAGGTCTTTGATTGTAGCCTCTCTTTGTTGAAGGGAATTAGTAAGTTCCTCATTCTCCTCCTGAAGTGCTCCAACTTTATGTCTCAGTTCCTCCACTTCTTCTCTTTTGGAGGAGAGCTCTTCTACCTCTTTCCGAAGACAATTTACTGTCTCAGTGAGAACATCCTTTTCATTGAAAGCAATTCTAAGTTTTTTCTGCAGTTCATCTACATCAGAAGCCTGCTGCTGCTTCATAGATGCAAATTCTCGGCTAATTTTCCCAGCTGATTCCCCCAATTCAGTTTGTAATGTTTCCAGTGTTTCTCGTAGGCTCTCATAACTAGCAATAGCATCTTCTTTCTCTTGAATATGCCTTTGACATTCTTCCTTAAGATCTTGTATTTCAAGTACTAGTGATTGATTTTCACTCTCCGAATGTAACATTACTGTTTGTTTAAACTCACTCATTTCATTCTTATGCTTTTCTACCAGGTCTTGAATTTCTCTACCCTTAATTTTTACAGTATTCTCATGTTGTTCTCTTGCTGCCTTAAGCTCTGATTTTAGTTTTTCAATTAAGCAGCAGTGATCCTCTTTGGCAAGCTGCAGTTCATTAATTTTAAACTCCAAATCTTCCCTCTCATGAAAGTATTCATCCTTTGCGAGCTGGATTTCCACTTCAAGTTTCATCTTAACATTATTCATATATGTTAATTCATCTCGTAGTATACTGTGTTGAGATTCCAGTTCTTTCAAAGCATTTTCTAAGTGTCTGGCTTTTTCTGCCATTTCTGACTCCAATGATACATTTCTAATCTCTATTTGGTTTTCATCAACTTTAGTCAAAGTCTGCCTTATGCACTCCAGTTCATGTTCATACCTCCCTTTAGAAGCATTCAATTCATCCTGCATGCCCTTCTCTTTCGCCTGGTATTGCTCTATTAAGTCCTGCTTTAGCTGATCTACCTTGCTTTGCTCTTCTTCATGAACTTTAGCAGAGGCTTCCAGCTGACGTATCAACTCTGATATTTCCTCTTGGTGAGTAGCCTTCAGTTTGCCCAGTTCTTCATTTAATGCATCAATTTCATTTTGATAACACTGACACTTATTTTCAATAACAGCTTGCAGTTTGGCAATTTCCTCCTTCTTCCCCGTATTGGAAGTTTCCAATTGTTCCTTCAGGTTACAGATCTGCTCCTCATAGATGGTCTTTGCTTGATGAATTTCTTCCTGTAGTCTTTTAGTATCTTCATGCCTTTTACAATAACATTCAAGTTGTTCTGCAAGTTGCTCTTGTTTCTTCTGTTCTGCATGCAATGCCTTCTGCAGGGTAGCTACAATTTCCTCATGTTTGGACTGTGCTGTTACTGTTTCTTGTTTAAGACTTTCAATTTCTTTCTGATGGTCAGTGCTCAACTGTGCAAATTTCTTTTGCAATTCTTCTTCCTTAGCAAGAGCAGCCTAATGATAAAAGTTATAAATAGGTGTTGATTAAATCTACTGTTAAAACATTTGTAAGTATTTATTAACATAAACCCCATCTGGCATAGGTAACAACCAAGGAATGGAGAAGACAGAATAATACAAACATGTATATGAGATCTGCACAGCTTTGTCACCAACATCTGGCTTCTCATCCCAACCAATACCTATTTCTTCTTCAGTTAAGAGCAAAACACACATTTGATCTATTACAACATGATTTCTAAAATGGGCAAAGAAACAACAAACACAAATGCATGAGACTTTCACTCAGCATTCCTAAGAGCCAGCTCAGCTGCTTCCCAATTTATTCCTTGCATGAAGCTGAGCGTTCTTTCTGAAAACAAAATACACTTCAGGGGTTTCTCTAAGATAGTAAAATGAGAGGGCAGAACACAGCAGACCACATATGAAAGCCAGCAGGAATATTTACAGTTTGGAATTGTTTTAATCTTCTAACCTTTCTGCATTGCCTAAATCCATCTGTTGGGAATAACACTTGTGGACTTGTGGCATCATATCTATGCATTAGCACAAACCTGTACTATCTCCCAAAAAGTCTGCAACAGAAAGCTGCTGCAGGATTATGTGTTCAAGACTACAAAGCTCAACTGAAGTAGGTTTATTTTTATGCCCTGTATCTACTAAATATTGCACTACCACAAAATTCATTCCTATCTGCCATCAGGGGAAAGGGCAGTCCACGATGCTTGTGACCTTTGAGTAGAAGACAAATGGACTAAAAGGAAGAAAGAGATTTTGGTGACATAAATGCATTTAAGGAAGCAGAATTAGATCAAACCTTTTCTATTTACTACACTTTAAAGTACCTCTGTCTCTTGTTGCAGTTTCACACTTTCTTTTTTCAGAGCTAGACACTGCTGCTGGATTTCGGCTTTTTCCAGAAGAACTCCATCCAACCTCTCTGTGAGAGCCTAATTTTGAGAAGTGTGAAGAGAGGAGAAAGTCACTCACTTCACTGCAAGAAAAGAAAATGTACAAGAGGGTGGCTATTCCCAACTGAAAGTTATTCGATATTTTGTTTCCCATGCTATCAAAAGCATTGCAGTCATACTCACTTGGCTTAGTTATTGCCCACTTCAGGTGTGTTTTGGGTCAGAATCATAGGCATGACCCTCAGGCTTAATATTTATATTACATCCATATATAGTCACTCCAGTGTTACATACTAAAATGTATTTCTCAATAAGTAATCCTTAATACGACAGCTTTAATGTTAGAAGTCGACTGGCAGTATTGCTATAAAATAATTGAATAGCAGAGTTGGAAGGGGCAGAGGGCCTTGAGTCCAACCCTCTACTCAGTGCAGGACACCAAGTTAAACCATCCCTCTCAGAGGGCTGTCCAATTGCATCCTGAATGCCTCTGGTGTGGAACAGCCCACAGCCTCCCAAGGTATTTGGTTCCATTGTCGTACTGTTCTAACAGCCAGGGAATTTTTCCTGATATCTAACCAGAATCTGGCTTTCTGTAAGATGAGCCTGTTATTCTCCATCACTCTGGGATGACTGAGAAGAGATCCTGACCTTCCCCTTTGTGACAGCCCTTCCAGTACTTGCAGAGTGCTATCATATCTCCACTCAGTCTTCTCTTCTCCAGGCTAAACATGCCCATTTCTTTTTAATCTCTCCTCATAGTGCTTTGTTTCTAGTCCTTGTTGCCTTTCTCTGAACCCTTTCCAGCTTGTCTGTGTCTTTCTTAAACTGTGATGCCCAGAACTGGACACAGTACTCCAGATGTGGCATAACCAAAGCAGGACTTGGTGCAGGACTTGGCGTTGTCCCTGCTGAATTTCATTCCCAACCCAGTGCACCAAACTCTCAAGATCACCTTGAACCTTGTTTCTCTCTTCCAGGGTATTAGCTATACCATCCAGTTTTGTGTCACTGGCAAGTCTGATAAGTGTTTCATGCACTTCCTCATCCAAATCATTAATAAAGATGTTGAAGAGTGCTGGGCCCAGGACTGAACCCTATGGCATCCCTCTTGTTACCTCCCCACAGTTTGAGAAGGTGCCATTGATGAGCAGTCTTTGAGTCCGATTCCATAGCCAAGTGTGTAGCCACCTGATAGTTGTTCCATCTAGTCCACTTTTAGCTAGTATGCTAATCAGGAGATCATAAGCCAAAAGCTTTGCTGAATTCAAGATAAATTATACCCACAGCACTGCCACCATCCCTCAGGGAGGTTACCCAATCAAAAATGAAATCAGATTAGTCTGGCAGGATTTGTTCTTGAGAAATCCATGTTGCCTTCGAGTAATCACTGCATTGTTTTCAAGGTATTTGCAGACTGCCTGATTGCTCCAGAATTTTTCCAAGGATTGGTGTCAGACAGACTTGTCTGTGATTTGCAGGTGGTTCTTTTTTCTTTCTTGAAGACAGGGACAACATTATCCCTTCTCCATTTATCTGGCACTTCCCCTGTCTATGGTTCTAGAAGTCTGATTGAGGTGGAGTGGTAGTGGTAACACCAGTATTACCACCAAGCCTGGAAAACCTACTAAAAACACATCCCATAGGCCCCTTGCTTACAGATTTGGCTAAGTCAGTTAGGCTAAGTAAGCATCCATTTACCTAAGTCTTAATCAATAAGCTTTAAGCCTGCTGTATATTAATCTAAATAAGCCAAAGGGACAAGATCAAACAATGAATTATTAAGATTGTTATGCAGATCTTGTTATCATTTGCTGAACCTATTTATATGTCACAACAGTTCACCATGAGTTAATTTACCTGTGGAGGCTGGTGCATTATTTGGGGCCTCCAGGAGCCTGCTTTGCCATGGCTTGTCATGTTATGTGAGGCAGCAGGGACTGTTTGAGGGTTGGGCAATAGCTTGTTTTAGGGTTATTTAAGGGTTGCCCAATTTGCAAACAACCCAATGCCTGGGCTTGCATGACACAGCAAACCAGGTACCCACAAGTGCCATTTGAAATTGTACACATGGGAACCCAGCAGAACACAACAGCTGCTGCCATTAAATTAAGCCATTGTGGCCTGGTGTGCTATGCGACCCAGGCTGCGTCTGAACGCAATGCTAAATTATAGATTAGCATTATGTAAGTTTGTGCACAACTCCCTCTCCCTTTTCATCTGGCACAGCCTAGAGGAGAAAATAGGAAGCTTTTGTTTCAGTTGTAACTCACGGCAGTTTAGCATTCTGCCCAAGCCCTGAATTATGTTTAATCTTAATTATGGTTTACTGAAACAAATCACAATTTAGGGTTTGGTCATAAAAATGATCTATTGTTATTTGAAAGTGGAAATGAATGTAGTCATGCTGGAATGAGTGGAGTAGAAATGCATCAACTCAAGGCCTACGCATACAATGGGGAAAAAAAAAACATTTCAATGTTACAACCTAACCAAATTATTGAATTTAAAATAGACAATAGATTCCCACATTCTTGATGTTACTTCTGAACATGACAACAACCTTCTGTATCAGGCCCAAGAATATCAGTAAACAGTAAATAATATGCAATTATTTTTTGAAGAGCATGTGTAGCAAATTACCTATTCTTACACGAAGCATCCTGTGTGAGATAAAACTCTCTACACAGCTAATTTTCAATGACCAGAATGTCAGTATTTCTATTCCCAGGTAAATGAACTGTGATACAGCTTGGGAAAGAAGGGTGAGGTGTATGACACAAGCAAACAATGAGCTTTTGAGGCATGTACAATATGTTATGCATGCATACCTGAATAATGTCATCAGTTCCCCCAGCAGCAGATTTTGATTTCTGCTCTTTGATCTCCTTCTCCAGTTCTAGGAAAAAAAGGGCATTTTTCTCTAAATAAGGATAATTAATATATTCAAGACATTTCATCTACTTTCCAACTTTCTACAAATCCAATGTTCATTCTGTGCAATTAATTCATCCATTATTATTAACAGGAACATTTGCAAGTCAGCAAGACATTTCCCCCTATTCCCAAAGGATCTTTTCTCATGATTTGTCTCATTTATTGCAATTGATGGGCCTCCCCACTATTTTTTCCTCCCCGCATCCTATTATGCTGCTTTCAAATAAATTACAATCAATTTCAGCAGGGTACCTGCATTTCTTGATTTCAGTTTCTGCATAAGCATCGTTTGCTTCTTTGCAAATTTGATAAGATCTTCTCTGGGCAATGTATCCAGCTGCAAAATTCATAAATTATTGTTCTAAATTGCAGTTAACAGTAACTGAACTTCAGCATGACAAATAACTTTTATGACTTTAACCTTTAGCCAGTAGTCTGCAAGTAGAAGCCCATCCACTTCTATAGTGTTTGTACCTGGAAGGAATACCCTGAAATGACTGCACTTTACAAAGCACCAAGCAAATATCTGGTTCGATATAGAAGCTTACTCTGTTTTGTCCCAGCCAGACCTGCAGCTGGAGCAAGACTTACACGCGAACAGTTAACGGACATAGGAGCTTAGCCTGAAAATATTACAGGCCCCTGTAACTGTTCCATTCTGCTGTTGGAATGCTATCTCCAGTGACAATTATGGTCCTTTAAAGCTTGGAGAATCAGCTTGTATATCCCTACATGTACTGATCTACTACCAAAAAAGCACTTCTGTCCAGCTAAGGGAAAGGAATTGTTGCTTGCCTTTCTATTGCCTGGATTACAGCATAATTTCTAAATGAATTTGCAGTTTTATCTCACATTATTCCAAAAAGATTCAATATATAACTATGATGAAAGGATTCAGGCATACAGAAACTATTAAGCTTGCCAGACTTGATAAAGCATGGGAGGAGGTTGAAACGGAAGAGCTGAATGCTGTAAAAACTACATTTCCATTTAACAAGATTGTTGCAGGAATGAGCAATAAGAAAATAAAAAGCCAACTGTTTGAACTAGATAGAACCAATTATATTCTAGACAGTAGGTTGGTACTTTTGTTTCCAGTATCAGCTGCCAACTGTACTTGCCAAATAAACTCTTCATCCATCCAAACATGACTTTTAAATGACTGTAATGACTTCGCTTTCTGCAAATAAAGCAAAGCCAACACTTTCATTTGAAAATGAGTCACTTTATGATAGCACCCTACAAACAGGAAGATCTATTTGCTTATTTGTTATTACCATTTTATTTTGCAAGGAAACCTTACCTTTGACTTGCCTGTTCCAGTTGTGGAAGGAGAAGCTGCCATTTCCTGACCACCATCTTGTGGCTACAGCAGAAATAAAGTTAGGTATAAAAGCATGTCATATTAGAATGAATTTATTCTTTCTTTCTCCAGTCCTACACCACCTTTCACCCCAAAGGCTACACAAGGCAGCTTACAACCATAAATGTATCACTTGAAACAATGACTGGCTTTGCATGACATGACAAGCAACCGTTGATTGTTTTCAATTATTGTTGCATTGGGCAAACCTAGCTGTAGTGATTTCCCATTGTGACTTATGGTTGAGACCCATAAGAAACAACAGTTTGCTCTAAGCTGTCTCCCTACCGTGACTGCTAACTGTGTTGTCCCAACTTGGACAACACAACTCAAAACAAGTGAGCCACTTGTCAGGAGCAACCATTGCCAAGTGGCTAACCAAAGATGTGGCCAACAGTTACTCCAGTTTGGCACAGCTGTCACAGGCATCCCCTGCAGCCTGTTCCCCAAAGACTCTACAGTAGGAGGCAGGAGATCACAATCAGCTGGATGGCACAGCTCCATTCTTGGAGCAACCGTGACTGGGAATAAGTTGTTCAGGCAGGAGATGGGAATGCTTCAAGAACATCCCTGTCAATGGCATACCCTCCTGGATCCCACCCTAAGCAGCTTAGGGTATGAGAATATGCCAAGAAGCTCATGCTTACCTCATTGGCACACACCTGAGCTTATCCTGAACATGAGTGGAGAGAGGGGGCCCAGGTTCAGCTGAGTTACGCTGAGGGCAGAACATCCCCACCCAACTCAGCCCTCCTCTCTGCTCACGCTGGAGTGACCTCTCCCAAGCAGAAGCGGGGAAAGGGGGAGCACTGAGAAGGTAGCACCTCATTTATTCCAGGCCCCACTTATACAGCTCCTGCTGTGGAGAAAGCCACTCAAACAAGAGTGGAGAATGTGATGTCAGGTAGGCAACTCTTGGTGCATCTCCAGTTAGCCCAGGCCCATCTTCCCCTGCTCCCACTCAAAAGAAAGCTGCTCAGGCTGAGCAATGCTGCCCACAACTGGACGAGGAGGAGTGCCTGATCAGCATCCTCATCCTCCCTGCTGCACTTAAAGGGTGTGAGTCCTATTTGTGCAGCAGAGAGCATCTGAGAGCTACAGCAAGACAATCTGCTCACGATCATGACTATCAAAGGGAGGAGCCTCATTCCTCTCTACAGTGAGGAACATGGCACATTCTTCCCTAGGAAGAATGAGAGGAAGGCGACAAAGCAATTACCATGTTTGGCTCTTTGTGGCTGCCCACGATGGATTGCCATTATATGTGAACCTGCCCAACGTCATCATTAAAACAGCTAAGGTAGCAATTTTATGCCCCCTACACACTGTCTGAGGAGCTGTAGGATAGAGGAGGTTCCATCTGACAAGGTCAGAGACAGCACTCTGAACTAAGAAGGGGTAGTTGGAGATCCAACACCCACCCCTCATGGAAAAAAGTGCCTTCTGAGGCCATGAAATCAATCTTGGGAGAGGGTAAAAAGAGGGCATTCTTGTGAGCAGAATTGGGGAGAGCGAGAGAGAGTGGGACACAAGCTGTCCTGAGCCTCTCCCAGCCACCTTCTCTCTCCCATCAAAAAGCCCTTCCAGCTAAAGAACAGAAAAAAAAAGAAAAGAAAATTACTGGATAGGAGGATAGAGAGATAAGAATTGTCTTCACTGTTCCTCCTGCATGGTTGGAAACCCCCAAGTTCAGGGGTTTCTGATTATCAAGAGTGCAATTGATGGGACTATGCCCTAATGTAGCAATTGATTAAAAATAGCATTATCAGCTTCAAATATATTCAAATGATTCTTTATTCCCAGAGTGTCAATACTGTAATTTCCCCCCTCCTTCTTTCAAGCAGAACCAAACAATAGCCTTCCACTTTTATTAATGCAAGCCACTCATGCTAGAAGTACAAGTATATTACAGAAGTCAACAACAAAGGCAACAAACAAACATTAGAATACTGGCTATTAAGGAAGTGTTACCTATTGGTAGGAAATCCCCCTCCTTCCTTCCAAGCTCAAGTTACACACACAAGAGGATTCTAAGGTGAATCCTCTTGCCTCAGGGCCAATCACTTGCAGTACTTGACATTTCTCAGCAGTTATCCTCTTTAGCTAACCTAGACACTGAGATCAGTGATGACTGATCCACCTTCCTCCTCATTACCAGGTTCATTTTGCCTTCCCATGGAGTCTGAAACTGAATGACTCCCAACTATTGCCTGGATTATCTTTGGATCCGCTGGCCTTGGCATCCCAGCTACAGATTCCAACCTCTCCTACTCTTCTAAGTCAGAATCTATTCCCACATTCCTAGAAGGCTCTTTTGCAGGAGAAATGTGCCCCTTTTCTACATAAAGCCTGGTGGAGTAATAATGTATCTGCACCACAATACTAGCTTATGTTTATTCAAAAGCATTCAATATTGCTTATTAGCAGGTAAGTGTACACAGAACTGTAGTCTTGTAATATCTGTTTATCCAGAATTAAGTACCACTATGTTTAATGGGCTTCCCCATAAAAGTGAGTTTGGAAGAGGATTAGCTTACTTTACATTAATCTTTATAGCATGGGCTGCAGACATCACACTTGAGAGGTCTATTGTGGGTGTGTGTGCATGTATGTGTGTGTGCATTTTTGTAGTAGGAGCCTCAAGTCCAACAATGTGAACAAAGTGCAAAATGCTGACTGGGCAACATGCCTTTAGAACTATGGAACAAGGTGCTTTGGAGAAAATATTTAGGACAAGAATTTGCTCTAACAGAACTGCATTCTTAATCCTGTCACACAAAAATTTACGTGTAGCTTTCTTCATTTCCACCAACTCATTCAGAAGGTGGAGAGGCTTTTGTTTTTGTTCTGAGAATCATAAACCTTGCTGATCTTCTGCAATTCACCCAGAGATCTATTAATAGAGTCTGACTGGCATTCTAACCTACCACTGCTTTACAGTGCAGTGGAAATCCAAAGTGGTTCATGAACCACAAGTCATCATCTCAATAATTCTACACTCCATATTGAAATCTGGGGGCAGAGAACCTGGGAGTTAATAACTTACCTGAAACAAGGTAAAAATGCAATTACGGCCTTTTAATCACACGCTCTTAACCCTACCTGCTTTCACCCAGAGGGGGAAACGTTACTTGATTTCTTCTCATAATCAGGCTGCTGATAAAGCCAAAGTAACACAGCCCAGGAACTGCTAATAACCCTAAAAGTACTACACTGAGGGAATTCAGCCTGATGAGCAATGCACTCTTCAGAAGGAAACCCGACTGAATTCAGCGGGGAAAAGGACTGCCCGGTTTGTGGACACGTGGAAATAAGGACGAGTTCGGAAAGACTGGGCTATTGCTTCAGCAGATCCGGCTAGCCCTCCGAACCAGCAGGCGCCTGTGGGGGCTACTCACAAACGGCCTGGGGGAAAGTGACCGGGACAAACCAAGTCACAGAGCCCCGACAACAAAGGGGTTCGCTTTCCACTTGGCAGCCCTGCGCCCGCATCGCCCGCTTCCCCTCGAGGGTCCCCTCCCGGTTACCTCCATGGCGGAGCCGAGTCCTGCCGAGAGGCGAGGGGAAGCGAGGCTCCCGCAGCGCCTCAGCCTACGCTCTCGCTCCGGCGCCGCTTCCGCCTTCGTCACCGGCCCTCCGCGCGCTTGCCACTGACGTCAACGAAGCCAGGCCGAGCGCCGCCGAAGCGGATCTTCTCGGGCCCGCCGGTCGCGTTGCCATGGCAACGCGTGCGGTGACGGGGCTCGAGAGTCTTCTGTTCCTGGAGGCTCCGACTCTGCCTCCCCCCTCCCCTTTCCGGCCGCCACTCGGACCACGCCCCCTTCCCTACGTAGAGGCTGGAGGCGGGACTTGGCGGAGGCGAGCCTTGCCTTCGTGCAAGCCTTCGGGGCGCCGGTTCATCTGCGCGCCGCTGCGCTCTGGAAGGGGTGTGCGAAATTTAACCCGAAATCCCCTTCCCCCGCGTTGGGAGTTAAAAGAAAATAAGTCTTCCTCGGGGTGGACAGAGCCCGCTGGAGCGCAGTGGCTCTGATTTATTGGGCAGCATAGAAACTACTTTTAAAAAATACGTCTTTTAAAAAAATTACAGTACAGTAAGTCGTTTAAATGGCTTTTCCTCTCACTGTCAGGAACTGCAAAGAAGAGAAGCATTGTCGCTCAAGTTAATTACCTTTTTCAAAGAAGATTTAATATCAGTAACAGGATAAATTACATAAGTATTCCACTGGAATGATTGCATACCATTTCCCCAAACATCCCAGCTCTAATAGGAGAAAGTGCAATCACATCCATTTTTTCTCAGATATGTACTTTTTAAAAAACAGGCATACCTAGGAGGATGAAGGAACTAAAGTCATTTGGCCTAGGACAAGTAGAATAGGTTTTTTTTTTTTTTTCATTTAAGTGTAAGCAAGATTTTAAAGATGCCCACTTCCTTGTAGGCAGAGATAGAAAGAGACATGCCAATGAGTTGTAGCACTTTCAAAAATAGGCCTGGCAACAAAGCTGGGGAAGGTAAAATGTAGACCAAATGGTCCTTGTCTTGGTGTCTGTATGCCCAAAATATGCACCAGGGGAAAAATTTCCTTTAAAGGATTTTTTCTTGAAAATAACCGGCTACCAACAAATCATTCCAGATGGCACACCTGAGCAGTCCTCAGTTGGTCCTTTTATACATTGATCATTAGAGGGTTACACACAGTGCTTTTTTTGTAAGAAAAAAGGTGCCGGAACTCATGAAATTATTTACCTTTTGCACGCAGTCAATCACTGTGCACACACCCACACACGTCAGTTGTGTAAGAAAACATAACAGTCGCTGCCCACAGTAAGTACTCGGCGCACAACCGCACAACTAATCGCAAGCTGAACAGCGCCACAAGCTGAGCAGTGCCATCACAACCAGTGCAGACAAAGTTCGCACGCTTCGACATCAGATTTGACACACAAGCAGCCCGCATGCACCGTTTTAATGATTTTGCCGCTGACCTGCTACACTCGACAGGGTGATTCAAATCCACGTGGACCAAACATCAAATTTTCAAAAGTTACTTTTGAAACTTGGAAAATCTGCTGAAAAAAGGTGCCGGAACTCTGTTCCGGTGCGTTCTATGACAAAAAACCACTGGTTACACATAATACAGTAACAGGGTCTTATAGAGCTCTACTAGCACCTTTCTCATTTTGGAAGTCACAGTTCTCATTATGCATCCAAGAGCAGTGTTCACCCTCTTAACCACCGCATCACACTGCTGGCTCATGTTTAGCCTGCTACTGACAAGTACCTCAAGATCCCTTTCACAAGGGCCGCTCTCCCTCCCAACTGGCCCCCTGTCCTGTACCTGTGACACCTATTCCTATGTCCAAAGTGTAAGACCTTGCACTTATCCATTTTGAACACTATTCCTTTGTTCCCTATTCACTTCCACATTCTGTCCAGATCCTTTTGGATCTGGAGTACCTGCTTCCCAGTTGTGGCCACCACCCCCACTTTTGGTCAGCAGACTGGTCACCCTCTCCTCCAGGTCATTGATAAAGAGGTTGAACAGAATTGATCCCATAAATAAACCCTGGGATCACCACTCATCATCGGCTGCCATCCTGATGATTTCCCGCTGACAATTACCCTCTGTCTGAGTTCTGTCAACCATGTCCTGATCCATCAGACAGTAAATCAATCTATCCCAAAGCTCATCAATTTCTCAACCAGGACATCATGCAGCACCTTGTCAAAGGACCTGCTGAAATCCAGGTAAACCATATCCACCGAGTCCCCTTCATCTAGTCCCCTTGAAACTTTGTCACAGAATTCCATAAGGTTCATCTGCCAGGACCTACTTCTACTATCAGGTCCCTGCTGCCTTCTAGACCCGTCAGTGTTATCCAGATTGCCTCTACCTGGTCCCCTTCTATCTATCCCTCTTTCCCTTCCTGTTCTTCCGATATGTAGACATTTCGATCCTGCTTGTCATCCCACCAGCACTAAGGACCTGATTTACACAACAAATGTAGGTTTGTCCATGACAGAATAAAGTTCATCAGGAGGAAACAGTTCCATTGCTAAGCAAACCCTTTTAAAATTTAACATTGGTTTGTCTATTCCCAGGATAGCTTTTTTGTGGAGAGTAATGTATACAACAATTCAGAGGATTAAACTGGGTTACTAGTATGAATTACTCACTAATCCCACCAAGATTAGGAACATATAATATCACCAACTTGGCCCTTTTCCCAAAAGAAAAATTGTTCCAGCATCAAGGAAGCAATAAAAAGTGACACGAGACACCTTCCTTCTAGAGGAAAGGAGAGATAGGCAGCTTTCTAAAGCAGAGCTCCTGTATGTTCTATGTGACACTGTTTAGGTAATTAAAGAAGCCACTCCAAACTTCATATAAATAGTGTGCTTTATTCAATTGGTTTCTTATAAACACAGGATCTTTCTGCTATCCCCTTGCCTTTCTCTTTGCCTTCCCATCTCCCCTTCTTTGTAAACTCCATACAGATTTATATGCTGCCCCATTTATTCAGATTCGTAACTTAACTAATAACTAAGTCTTTGTTCCTTATGCTTGAAGACTGAAACAAAACCAAAAAAAAAAAAAAAAGGGGTCAGCAGTGGGCAACTTGTGTCCTCCAGCTGTTTCAGGTTGCAGCTCCCCTCTGCCTTCACCAGCATGTCCAGTGAAGAGGGATCATTGGAGTGGCAGCCCAAAAACATCTTGAGGGCTACAATTTGTCTTTATTTCTTGTAGTCCCTGTATCCCGAGAGCATGGGTTATGAACTTGCAATACTAGGCAATAGGTTCTGACACAGTATTGCCTCATTTGTATTTTGTTCAGCTAAATTGTGCAAGAAGAGCTTAATGGACAACAGAAGGTTTTCTCAATTTCAAAATAGCAAGGTGCGTCTCCCTACGCAGAGAATGCCAGAGCTTAAGTGCAGTCAAAGAAAAGGGCTTCCCTGGCCTGAACTAAATGCACATCAAATGATGTGTCACACCAGAGAATTTGATCTTACTGTGTTGCTCGAGAGTTAGAAAAGGAGATTGTGATATCTTAGTTCTGAACAGTAAGAGTGGTCTAAGAGTCCTAGCCAGCAAGTTAAATTAGACCCAGAAGCAAGTGAGAAGCTAAAGCAGCTGATTCAGTAAAGGAGCCATCTGCTTTTTATTCCTTGCTGTAGTCAACAAGTTGGTCCCCATATCTTGGAGTAGTTCAAGTTTCTGGGCACTCTTCAGAAGAACATGCATGCTGAATATGTTGCAGTTGCCCAAATGGATGTGTACTGAGTCATATGGCACTGTAGCCAGATATGCATTTTCCAGGAATGAAATAGATAGCACAGTACCCCAAATGGACAAAAGTATTTCTGGCCATGAACATCACCTGAGCATCCAGGCATAAGGCTGAGTTCAGGGGTAGTCTTTAATAGTGGTACCTCATTCAAACAGATTGGACTTCTATTCCCAGACCAGCAGTTGCTCGGAAACAAAGCTCTATCTTATTTGAATTCAGCTTTGATTTGTTATCTCTCATCTAATCAGAAAGCAGAGCCCCTTGATGCGGGTGAAAGAGAGGGCGCAAAAGTTGGCTTGAAACTCAACATTAAGAAAACTAAGATCATGGCATCTGGTCCTATCACTTCCTGGCAAATAGATGGGGAAGAAATGGAGGTAGTGACAGATTTTATTTTCCTGAGCTCCAAGATCACCACAGATGGGGACTGCAGCCAAGAAATTAAAAGACGCTTGCTCCTTGGGAGGAAAGCTATGGCAAATCTAGACAGCATACTAAAAAGCAGAGACATCATCCTGCCGACAAAAGTGCGCATAGTCAAGGCTATGGTTTTCCCAGTTGCAATGTATGGCTGTGAAAGCTGGACCATAAGGAAGGCTGAGCGCCGAAGAATAGAGGCCTTTGAATT